GGGTACATTACGGCATGTTTTCTATGTACGACGTTTTCAATATAATTCATAATCCCACGTTTATAATGAACAACGCGTTATGGTTATTGTGTTACAAACGGTGTACGCACAGAACAGAGGGGCGGAGTGAGCAAAGCTCATTATCATTTAAAGGCATATGCACTGAAACGGCGTGCTGAAAACAGAGCTGTTTTTGACCAAGTAAAATAAGTGTTTTCTTACAATACTAATGAGAATTTTTAATTAAAGTATATTACAAACTTTTAATTTAGACCCTAAAGAATCATATTAGCTTGTACAAAAATGGCATTATATGACCCCTTTAAAGGGTAACTAAACCCCTGGTCAGAGCCTGACTCCACCCACTGGCAATATTTGAAAAATGCTGGAAAAGTGGGCGGAGCCCAGCGGAGATAGAGGGGATGAACGGACACTCTATCCTGATCGTTTTCAATACTCGCGATTCCAACTCCTGACTCGCTACAGTGGTTTTGACGAAACAAGATGGTTTTTATACTGCCATGGGCGTGGTAGCTCGTACCAAGGGCGTGGTGAGTTGAAACCTGCTTACGTCAGCTCTGACCGCTACCGTCACGAACTACCGCAAACATCCAATAGGAAAATTCAACTGCAGTAGCCACCGTTCAACCTGAAGAGGGCAGCACTCAGACGTTTTTACACCATATATTGTAGAATTAAAACACTTTATACCCAAATGTCAAAAAAGTTACTCGAATCAATGAACAGCACTAATAAAGCCCCAGTCTTACAGATCATTAATTAAAAAAAGTTGGTTTAGTGTTTAGTTACCCTTTAATTGTAGCTTTGTTGATGTTGAAATATCGCAAATGTATATATCCCGATATGCTTATCGCAACGGCTTGCTGGAGTCATGAGCAAAAGACAGAGAGAATCACTCGCTGCTCTTGGCTGAATAACTTTTCTAGCTTTAATAAGAATCTGTATTTAATTCATATAGTGAAAACTAAGCAGTGTCTTATTTTTGCATTTGATTACTCAGTTTCTGTTGTTAAATAACCCTAATGTAGGATAACCTGAAACCCTGAACCCTGTGCTTTAGAGTAGAAACTCTAGCATTTCTAAATTATGGAAATTTTAACACGAAGCGATGACTAGTTACTTTTAGCTAGTAACTGCTAAATAAATTGGTTGAAATAATTCAATTAAAACAACAACAACAACAAAAAACAAGGAAAAGTCACATTTCTCTGACATGACATGAACCATCTTCACGTCCGTAGAACAGCTTGAGTGTCAAGTCAACATGATTTTTTATAGCGCTTTATACAATGCAGATTGTTTTAAAGCGGCTTTACAGTGAGACACCGGAAAATGACTTAATGATCATTTCAGTTCATTTCGGCTCCAAAAGAAAACAGTGTCATTGTTTAGCTGAACTTCCATTGAACTTGGTTGTTGTCAGTGTTGATTCAGTTCCACTGTGAAAGTCATCAAATATTAAATTAGTTTCATCTATAAAGCAGCTCTGCAGAACACAGCGGTGTCACAGATGTAAACAGTTTTTATGGGTGTTGAAATGTCCTTTACACGGGGTTGAAAGTGCACTATTGTGCTGTTGTTTCGATGGCCCTTCTCCGGGATAGATGAGAAGCTTTGACTTGAGCAGGTGCCATAATCCTCTCAATGGATATGTAAGTGGATTTGGGGCTTTATATTTATGGTTATGCTTCTTTGAGGCGATGAGCCCTTGCACTGTTAGTGCACATCTCCAATCTCTCTCTCATCTGTTTGTCCAGCCAATGAAAGGCAGGAGTGAAACAATGTTCAGAAAACTGATAAACTAGATACAAATGTGATGTTGGCTTGGAGAAAGCCTGGCTAGAAAGTTTGAAGTAGTCTGAAAAAGCATTCAAATTTAAGTAGTTTTAAGCATGGATTGAAAAAAAGTATGATTAAATTAGAGTAAGACTTCACAATAAGGTATGCATCAACTAACAATGAGCAAAACATTAGTTACAGTATTTTAAAATATCTGTTAACGTTACTTAATAAAAATACAACTGTTCATGGTAGCTCAGATCCATTAAATAAGATACTATTTTTGAATTGTTTAATGGTAAAATGAACATGAACTAAGATTAATAAATGCTTTAGAAGTATTTTCCATTGTAGGTTCATGGTTACTAATGTGGTTAACTAATGTTAACAGATGAAAATGATTCTCACACTTGATTTTTTTTCATCCATCCTTTAATGACGTTGTTTTTTAATTAATTTTTGAGAATTCAGACACCATTATTTATCTCCATATCCCATGTTTTTAGTCACAGAAGTTATATAAAAAAGGAAGATGTTATTCTATAAGATGCATCTGGGCAAAGACCTTCTAATATGGTTCTGAAAGTCAAAGTTTTTTGGCTTTTAGTATGAATATGTTAGTCTTACTTTTATCTATAAGCTAGTGTGCTCCAAAACAATGATCAAATTCAGGTTTAGAAGATATAAGCGTTCAAAACCTACAAATTAGCCCATATGAATTTATAATTTTGATGACATCACTCAGATTTCTCTCCAATCAAATGCTCTCTAGAATCTGAAGCTCCGCCCCCTACATTATAAATAGAAGCTGCGGCTGAAATCAGTCATTTATTCACACATTTACTATTTTCTACATGGCGAATGGCACATAGTGAACTATATCGAGGATAGGGAACGATTCAGACAGTGTAAATATGCTTTCTATTGGGGCGAATGAAGTCTGGTTTCATGTTAGCGTCACTCGAACCACCGCATGAAAGCACAGAGCGGATCATATTGCGAGTCACGCAGGCTAGAAACCGTATCGGACATTTTTGAATTTTGCACAAAATGCTGTTTTTTTAAAGCGATATGGAGGAGATTAGGAGGAGAAAAATGAGCTTTACCGAACTCACCGGCTCTGATATAAACTCGACGCTGTTGGTTATTTAAAAAGGGGAGGAGCTGATTGATATGTCCAGCCCTGTCTTCCTGTTTCAGTGGAAATTACGTCAACACATTGAATATGAATGTGTTCTCTTCAAGCCTCTTCAGTGGGCCTTTCATATTCAGATTCACATTATTTAATTGAGCAGAGGATAAGACAGATATTCGCTAGAATCTTGTTTACTTGGTCAAGCGTCACATCAGCGTGTGACTCATCTGTCTTTCTGCATGACCCTAGCAACTGCACAGTAATGCCCTAGCAACCACCCAAAACACCAAAGCAACCACAACAGAACACTAGCTTTTTATTTGTTTATATAAAATGTAAAAAACAAACCAGTTTAATGAATTAGCCATCTAAACCTGCCCTACTTTCATTCTCTCCTGTATTACATTTTTATTGATAATAACCATCACAGTCCAACTTACAAGCCTTGCTTTGTGTTAGTTGTGCCAAATCATGTTTTAGTTGCTTGACAACTAAGCGGAAGTCCTGCATTTGAGTGGTTTGGCAACAGTGTTTCCTCTAAAAACATGCTAACCACAATGAGTGACTGCATCATCTCAACCAGCGCTGCATACTAACACTGCATGTTCCCACCGCATCGACAGATATCACACGCAACGCGATCAAACTGGCCTAATATCTGGAGAGATATTCACTGAAAAACATTGTTTTTGAAAAACGAAATCAAAAAGTCATGTGGTGAATGCAGAAAAAAATTAAAACTAGAAAAGGATATCATATAAAGAGCAAAACCTCATGACCCTCGAGGTCAGGAAGTCTTACAATGTTTGATCATTTAATCTTTATGATAAGGGAAGGTTAGTTCACATTTCAAAATGCTGTGGTTTGACTCTTAAGAAATGCATTTATGAATTAACATTCATGATATTTGTTAAAATACATGTTTTGACAATAATTAAAATTATTGTTAAGATGTGTGCGCACACATTTATTCAAGGTGTAAGAGAAAATATGTTATTCAATTTTACTTGATGGTTACATCACAACTTTTTATTGAAAGTCATTGAATTTTTTGAAATATTTGGTATTAAAGTTTTTCGAAACCAAGATAATTTGAAACCTTTAGAAAAGTAGATTTCTAAAAACTTGACACATTGTAGATGTTTTTCTTCTGACTTTATCATGGACATTCTTATTTGCATTGATTCATGCAGCGATTTATGCATATTTCAAAGACAAAAAAATATAAAATGACCTTTTTTTAACCCTTCCCCTTCAAACACCCGTAAAGCCCAGAGTATGCTTTGTTTTTTTTAACGTGTGTATGCGTTAGTATAGGCTAGTCCCACACTCCCGCTCCCGGAGATTCGCAAGCACTGCTGTCAATCAAGATGTTACACAACATTTTTATAGCATCCAATAACTAACTGAAACCAACGTTTTGGGGAAAACTAAAACTTTTAACATGCGTCTGCGTGATGAGAACTACCTAAAATGACAGAAACCATCTTTGGAAAAAATTCTGTGATGTGTAACTGGATTTTTTAAGTTTGGCTGGTGTCCCATTGGATTACATGGAGAGGGCGGGGCTTAAGACCTGTACTGCAGCCAGACACCAGGGGGCGAGCACAATGCTTTGACTTCACTTTACAGGACTTGTGCGGCATGCTTGGTGCGAATGCAGGCGGTTGATATATTTATTTAGAAAGTTTTATCTTTGTCCAGTGTCTGCGTTATTTTTCTCCATAAGTTATGGCCGATAAAAATGTCTTTTTATTAATTTAAACTAAAGATATCGCGACCTGCGTGTCCAAAGTACGGTTACAAAAATCAGGCAGTGTGCGTACTATTCCTGTCACGAAATTTGCTTCACGCGCGCTACACGGAAGTATACTTTAGGCTTATGGCCCATTATCAACGACAGCATCGACTTCAGTGACGTCTTGTGTTTGCAGTAAAACAGCAGTAATGCCCATTATTTTTAGCTCTAATGACGAGCTAAACATGGGACGGGAATACCAGCAGGATGCAGTAATGTTGATCACGCTGACGTTGTGTTTTGATGTGAAACTGGTTTGTCTTTCAGGCCCGGAATAAAGAAACCGGTGTGCTTGCTGCAGCTAAAGTGATCGAAACCAAAAGTGAGGAGGAGCTGGAAGACTATGTGGTGGAGATTGACATCTTAGCATCTTGCAACCATCAGTACATCGTCAAACTGCTGGATGCCTACTTCTACGACAACAAACTGTCGGTAAGCTGGTTAAACTGACCAAACTGACCTTTCTTAAAAACTACTGTCTTGCATATCATCTGAATTGCTCACCGGGTTTCATTTTACAAATGCACACCCATATTAAATAACTGATCCGCCATGCAGATTCCCAAATCTGACAAAAAATAAAATGGCAGATGTGATAGCTAATATTCACTTTCCAAATGAGAACACCTACACTTATACCTAGCATCACATATTAAGATTTAAATTAACCATATTTATAGCATTTATCGTTTCACTGAAGTCTATTCATAATGCAATTTTTCATGGTGGTTTTTTTCCACCTTTTCTCTGATTTGGCATGAAACGAAAATTGCATGTTTGCATCTAAATACATGTTTTAGATCTTATTCTGAACAATTAGCCTTCGCACAGTCTTTTTTTCTCTTCGCATAATCTGTTTTTTTAGGGGTTAAACGCGTAGCGCTGAAATCTTATTGTAATTGTTAAAATTTCCAAGGATCAGCATTCTCCCCTAAAAGTGATCGGGCGGACCCAACCGTAAGGCGTAGAGACTTGAAACTTTGAGGGCTGGTTGTACTCACATCGCCTACAACGTCACCAAGGCCCGCCCCGATTGCACTGAAGGGGGCGCTACAGCGCTCAAAAGTACGAAATGGCTTATAACTCCTAAACCGTTAGGCGTAGGCTTATATCGTTGGAATCCTTGGCTCAATAATTTAACAAAAAAAGTTGAAATTTCGATTTATGTCTCATGTCATAGAGTGATTTATGTCTTCTCTAATGCTGGGCTGCACTTTTACGACTAGCTGAAACAATCTAAAGGCCTGTTCACACCGGATATTCGCCGACGTTTAACGCCTCGTGACTAAACAAAGGGCGCCAATGTGAGTGTGCACACCGACGTGAAAAACGCCACGCGTAAAAGCGTCATTTTTTAAAAAACGCCTCGGGTTCGTTTTTTTAGTTTGACGCGCCGCGTCAAAAACTATCCGACCAATGAGATTGGCGCTTTTGCTCACGTGTCTGGAGCTTCTGAAGTTACAGTAAAACACAACTTGGGGGCGCTCAAACACAAAACGGTCTTGCCGAGCACACATACGTAACGGCAAAGAAGATATACGCCAAGTAGCGTCTACACTGCCGGGAAGAAATAAGACGAGGAAGATGCGAGGCAAGATGAATGTAGCGCTGCTGGTCTCGCTGGTGTCGGAACAAAGAGCTATATGACAAACGCGACAGCAACTACACAAATCTTGATAAAAGAGAACTGTTATGGAGTGGTATTGCAGAGCAAATGGGCGCCATCTAATGTCAGGGAATGAATTTGCATGTTCACTCGGCTCATCGTCAGCGAAAATCGCTTGGGTGTGAACACAAAAAACGCGTTGAAAAACGCAGGCGAATAATGCGCGCCGATATTCGTCCCGGTGTGTACGAGCCTTAAGAGTGAACTGAACACACTTACAGTTTCCAATGACTGGAGCAGATTTTAAACACTGACTGAACGCAACTGTCTCGACACGTTTGGGCATGATCAGTCGTAAGAATCAAATTACATTCATAATCGGCCTTACAGTCGTTAAGTGTGTCCCCGGCTTAAGGGCCGCCAAAACGTTTGAACGTTCACTTTTACTAAAATGGCTATAACTCGTGAACGGAATGAGATATTTTCGCCAAACACGGTGCACATATGTAAAAGCTCATTCTGTGGACGCGTGAAAAAGCACATGAGACTGGCCACCTGGTGGCGCTATAACATGGAAAAACATAAAAACGGCAGTTCAGTTAAAGGCGTCCGGCTAACGCGTTTGCATTGAAGCGTCTGCCGGTTAGTATAGATTTGACATATGACCTCGCGGCTCAATTGGACGGTTTAACGTTACATGACTTTTCAGTTTCATAGTCGTCGCCATCTTTGACATTACTTTGGTCACTGTCAATATGGTTAGTGTTAAAGGGGTGATGAACTGAGAAATCAAATTTTCCTTGAGCTTTTGACATCTAAGAGGTCATCAAATTATAAGAATATCCTGTAAGTTTCAGAACTGAAAACGTCCTTGTTAGTCCAATAAAAGCTTTTATTGACACCAGGCTCAGCAAACGACTCGTTTTTCAAAGTGGGGAACTATGACGACAAAGTGGATAAAACACCACCCCTGCAGAAGAAGATCAACGCCTACTTCAACACGGCCGGTTTAGCCCCGCCCACCGATCCGCGCATTACACGAAACTCATTATAATATGCAAAACTGTTATCCACTCACAGCAGTGGGCGTTTACTTCCAAGTCTTCAATGCGAGACGCCCATAAAAACCGAGCGTTTTTGAGCTAGGATCAAAACTAGGGTAGAAAATAGCCTATACTTATTCATTTTGATGTTTTTGAATGTAAAAACCAAGCGAACGTCATAAGTTGACCTCAGACAACAATATAAAACAATTTAAAAAGCCAGTTCATGACCCCTTTAAGAGAATAGAGGCTTGACTCTTGTTGCACGTTCAAACAGACAGTACTCGAGACGCTACTGTAAGTTGCTGTGTGAACGGGACATTTTGAGACTCACTCCTGTAAGTAAATGCGTTGTCAATTCTAAAAATTGACAGTGTGAACCGAACGTAGCCCAAATCTTAATTAACGGACAGCATTTACCAAAAATGTGGTTTTGAAAAATGAAAGTTGTCAGCTTGGTTCTAAAATACTGGTGTCACTCACTCTCGCTAACTGAACGGCGCATGATCATAACCATATTTAACGCTCTAAATCAGGACTGACATCTGTATTCTGCTGCTGTGTGAATGTGGTTCCTGAGTAATACATTAAATAGCTGAACTACGATGTCTATGTAAAAGATTTGCAAATAATCGCCATAGTTCACATTGTTGTTCATCAGGGTGGGACAAGTATAGCTAAAAACTAAATAAAAGATAAGTAGGCCTAAATGTGTGTGATTGTGTTGACGTGCTGTCAAGGTAACAGCCTGTAAACGCACGTTTTCATGAGGAGACGTTTAAAGCATTGCTGGAATTCCTCAGTGTGACGGTAAATTTGCTTGTCTGGAAGATGTGTGTCTCCAGATCTCTTAGTGTTTGAAGAAGACTTCCTTTTGAAGGAAACTACTCTAACCCTAAATACTAAACTTTGGTAGCCTACGCGACTAGGCTATGGACATGAATAGATAGGCTAGGCTATCAATTTTTTTTCTTTTTCTATAGAGTCCTGCAAGAAATATGTTTTTGAAGGCCAAAAAAGTCCATGAGTTTTCAGTTAAATACCTGACATAAGGTCTGTGTTTAACACAAGCTTAAGATATTGTCACAATTTATTCAGTGTTCTACAACTATAGGTCATTCATAGCCTTGTGAAGATTATCATGAACAACAAAACGTGTAAGAATCAAACTTTTATTGGTTACTTCTGCAGTATCGATAAGCCAGTGGAAAATCCTATTGGGTTTTTGTCGAGGGAATCAGGGTGATTCTAACTTCTGGCTTGGCCTATGAAAATACGTCATCCCTGCAGCGCTCTATTGATTTGTAATAGATATGTAATGTGAAAGTTTATAATTAGCATTTGCGTATGTTAAGTTTGCTCATGCTAAAGCAAGAGGTGTGGCACAGCTGTCTGGGCAATGCTACGCTGTGTCATAAGATGATCATGTGTGGGTGTGGACGAGGCGACCAAGCTCTCGATGGAAATATTCGGATGGGAATGTGTGTGGGGTTTTGTGAAGGGAAATAGCTGCACACTTGTTGTCAAACATAACAAGCACTTGTTCTTTTTGACTTGAGTGTGTCAAGTTGTCTTCACCGAATCTGGGGATACAGATGCTGAACTGAAAGCCCCAGACTGTCCGCAGACCTCAAGCATTCAGGCCGTTTGTCTGTCTATCTTTGGATGTAAGCAATGCGCTTTCTCCAGTGAGCCATGATTTGGATTTTCCATGATGCTTTTCAATGAAAGATTTTGATGTTTGGTATGTTGACGTGGAATGGAAACTGCTCAGGCACCTTCCTAGTTCCTACTCATATTTATAGTATGTGAAATAGCATTTATCATGCAATAATGCATGCGTCACTGTACTGGTATTCATATGTGTGAGAAGAAGCACAGGATTTCTATTAACCCCACCACAAAAACGAATTCCCACCGTCTCAAAAGCACTTTCCTCTGATGGGAATGTATCACAGGTAAATAGGATTCTTAAAAAAAAAAAGATTTTAAATATGCAAATCAGGTCTTAAAATCCATATTTGCATCTTACATCAAAAGTCAGAGATTGTCAGCTTTTCAAAACGAAAGGATTTGTGAACATCGTATACTGTTACCACCAGGATTTCTATTTTATTGTGGTTCTCTTAATGGTCAAAGTCAGTTCTTGTGCTCGAGCTCTCCATCATGATCAACAATAAAGCAATAAATCACGATCAGCAATAACCAGAAAGCAAAGGGCCCTTTGAATGATGCAATGATGCAAATGCCTAAATGCTTAAACATTTAATAATTAAACATTATAATGAAAGTTTGAAAAAATTGTCAGTCAAAATTGTTTAAATCTCATTTTAGAGATGCACTGGCCATCAATCGATAGCAGACAGTTTTTGCTCAACACCGGTGTTATGTTTTATTTTGGCTGATATTTGTTCCGGACTTGCACATAGTGTCAACAAATCACCTGGATGATGCGACGGCAAAGCTGCAGTGACGCAACGACTTTACCAGTTGCTGATTGGCTCTTTTATGTAGAAGGCGGGACTTATTCCGCCATGTCGCGCATTGCACTTTTTCATTCATAGTAATTAGTGCTGTCAGACGATTAAAATATTTAATCGCGATTAATCGCATTAATGTCATAGTTAACTCGCAATTAATCGCACATTTTTAGCTATTCTAAATGTCTCTTGATTTCTTTTTGTCCCACTATTTTTTTCTCATTTTAATGCTACATGGAAAAGTGGATCGGCTTGCTTTGTGCAAATGTTTTTTATTGAAAACAACATTGACATATAGGCTAC